AGTATCACTATACAATAAACTATAAATTTCTGGGTGAGTCTCAGATAGACACACGACGGAACGGATACGGCAAAATGTGTAAATCAGACACAGACTCAATCGCACACGACAAGACACATACACAGAACTGAGACAATCGGACACAGTTACAATTGAACACAAGTCAAGACGTACACACGACATTCTCAATTGGACACAAGACGCTTGTAGTGACATATTATACTGGCGTACATTGACAAGCAACGTAACTAAAACGAAAGCAAGATTTCATATAGNTTTCAACTTTNCACNCAAATCGAAGAGAAAGTGCAGGCCGCCTTTGACTACACGTTTAAAGCACAAACAAAAAGAACATAAGAAAAGTAATCTTGTTTTAATACTAATGTGTCCGATTGAGACTATCGTGTGTCCGTTTTATCTCGTGTTTGTTTCAACTTGTGTCCGATTAAAACTGCATTTGATTGCGACTGTCCGATTTATACATCTTGCTTTGCCTGTTTCATTTTTGAGTTCATCTGGAACACACCCCGTCTGTGACACTTATATAAATATACGTAGAGAGTGTGGATACATACACATTTTTATATTTTTACATATAGAAGCATATAAAAGTAATGCGTGTAAAATATGTATGTACAGAACACAAAACCAATATAACGTTTGTGTTAAACATCACAAATTTTTTTTAGAAAGGTTAAATATTTTATTATATATATAGTTTTATATATATAGTTATATATATATAGTATATGCTCATATAAAGTTTTCGTATTTTTCTTTATACTAAAAAATGTGTCTTACTGATAATACGCTGCTTTTATAATATAAAATTTTTTACTAAAAAATGTCATAGATTCTGCTTTTTTTTAAAACTGTAGTGGTCAATCTGTATTATTACATAAACCTGTATTGTATGTGCGTACAATAGCTGAGTTAAGTAAATAGTATAATGAAAACTATTGTAGATTTTTGGTCAATCTTTACTGAAGTCGCTAATAGTCCAAACACGACGAGAAGTTCTTGATTTTATAGAAGCATATGTTACAAATGATCTTCTAGTTAAAGAAAATTCAACGATCATATCTCCAAGCTCGATTTTTATCGAATTGTGGCGAAAGAGTGGTAAGAGAATCACATTTATTACATTTTCAATTCTTTTACATTTTACATATAACTTGCCAAATTCAGCTGTCGATTTTAACNCTTTTTATGTGTGTGATAAAAGTTTAATCAAAGACTTTTTACCTAAAACGGATGCTTACTGTGATGTGCTATTTTCGTTACTTTTTGTTACTTTTACAAACAAACAAAAAAAGATTTACTACTATTTTTTATCGTCTGTCAAAGAAATATATAATAACAAAAAATACAAACCACAAAGTGTGTGTGTGTGTGTGTGTGTGTGTGTGTGTTGTGTGTTTTAAGATTAACTTGTTACTATTTTGTATGCATGTGTTAGGTTACAAAATTCGTAGATAATTACTTAAGTATTCTACATAAATAAAAAAATAACCAACAAAATTAGTATACTTCCTTTCCTTTAATATATGTACATACACAATAGTAGTTTATGGCGATTTTGAGTGAATTGTGTAAATTATCTTCATGATATATAACTTTCCAATCATTAATATAAATAAATTTTTAATTATAAATTTAAACTTATTATAAAATCGGAATTCTTTTGTAGCACTCAATATATTTTACATGGTCACTGACAAACATGTCTTCTACAACTTTATGTTTGAAAAAGCCATAAACTTATATCATAACATGTGAGTATATAAATTATTATGATAAATTTCGCAAAATGTTTATTTGTGTAATTCACATTATACGGTATCGTCAAAACGTAAAGACCATATTATTTTTTCTTTGAAACATTTATTAACTAACATGAATGTACTTTTTATACTACTTTCGTTTGTTATTAGTTTATTACGTGATACTTATGCTACACAATTAAATTTTGATATTTTATGGAGCAAACTACTATCTGAGACGCCTACGCACGAAAATACGTTTTTCCTAACAACTTTAACGACTGTGATAACTTCTTGGACACACGTTGGTTATCCTATAGTACAAGTAAACCGACACAACAATACACGGACTCTTGAAATACTGATTAGAGACTGTTTTCTAAGTAATATGAAGAACTCTTGTGTAAGCACGTGGTGGATACCTGTGACCTACATAACAATACAACAGTCTAACATGACATATCAATGGTATTTACAACCAGACGAAAACAATATTATTATAGTTCCGAATATTGAAGAAGATGATTCTGTCCTTTTTATGGATGTACCTGGTAATATTTTTACACACATGGATTATTTAGTTTTGTCTTTTACTCTTACATAGTACCTTTTAAATTTCTGTCAATGTATTATATTTACTGTTTTTTGTTTTATTGTTTTATTTCTCTTTCTTTGTTTTTTTAGTATTCTCACTGTTTTCTTTTGTCTCTTTTTCTACTACTTAATTGTTGTAGGGTACCGCGTCAACTACGATCGTAAATCTTGGAAGAATATTGCTCTCTTCTTGAAAACTACAACATTTGATATGTCGAATTTATCTGACGTCACATTAGCTCAAATTCTCGACGATGCTTTTTATTTTTTAATACAAAATACAGATTATAATGNAAATTTTGATTTAAATACTACTGGTAATCTAGACATATTTTTTGATATTGCAACCAGTGTATTTCACGTGAACAATTCCTACATAGCTTGGTATCCTATATTTACTGCGTTTGAATACTTCTCAAAGATGTTTCCGTTTCCAGAAAGTGCATACATCAAGGTAATTAATACTAAATTAATATATCAATTATATGCTACAAAAGATACAATACAAATGATAATTGAGTTTTTTACATTATACTTATAATATAGTCTTACAGAATTTTATTACATTAATTTGTACTTTTGCAATCAATACACAAAACATTTTGTATAATAAATTATAAATAAACAAGTTGTTTTAAACATAAAAATCCAAATAAAAAACAAACACAAAATAAAACGATAAATTATATATATCAGATGACTTGTTTGTTGATAACTGTTCAAAAATATGTTGTAAAAACTCCTGTAATACATTAAACAAATAGTAAATATTTCTTATTAGATATCTGACGTTTTCAAACATATATAAGTTTTAGATAAAAAAGAGGAAACATTTACATGTACATAAGCGTTTGATAAAAACATTGAAATATAAAATGTATTAACTTTAAAAAATAACTAATTTAAAACTTTATTCTTTCGTAAATATATTGTAAACATTTATTAAATAAACTTACGTGTAAAAAGTATATCATAAAATGAATTTATATATCTTGAATTTTTAGTTTAAAATTCTGTATGTATTGAACAAGTTTCTTGAGGATTCGTCGCATACACCTTCTTCCGAAAATAATGTCACTAATCAGTTATATTACGAAGTTTTAAAATGGGCATGTATTCTCGATAGCATAAAGTGCAAAGATATTGTTATGGCTGAATTAACGTGGCATATTCAAAATCCTGTACGAAACAGGTACGTAATTTACTTACTAGCAAAATAATACTATTAAAGACGTTACCTGATTGTAGTTATGTTGTTTTACGTTTATATACGATTATCACAGAAATTTTTTATTGTTCTTCTTACTGTTACTATTAATATTTTTGTTGTTGTTGTTGCCTTTATTGTTGTTACAAAAAAAACGTTATCGCGACTAGTGATTTTGATATTTTCTTTTCTCTTTCTTCTTTGAGTAAAGGTATATATATTGTTTCTTTGCAGACTTTTGCCAAGTTGGCAGAAATGGATATTTTGCCAGAGTTTAATGTTAGAAAATTCCACGTATAAGAACTCTTCTACATGGTCTACATTAAAAACCATGTATGAAACTCAGTCAAAAGAAGAAGAAATGTTTAAATTTTTACCTTGTTCTAGACTTCACAAAAATATTTTCTTATCTTTTAAATCTATTGCTACTACTTTTCTACCATCTTCTGAACGTAGTGTAGATTTAAAGGAAAGTGATAGAGTTTTTTTTCTTTTTAATATTTTTGCAACGCATTCAAAAACTGTTGCATCGCTGACGTCTATACTAGATGTAATACATTANATAGAAAGGTAAACCATTTTTTCTTATGTATTGATTTTTGTATATTTATCCACAATGTATGTACGTTCTATATAGATACTATACTGTATATGAAATCCATTTGCCGCATATACGATGTTGTATTATAATATATACTTAATACGTAAACAAATAAATTTTACATATTAATTTTTATTGTTACTTGTGATAGCGACATTAACATAGGTGCAATAATGAACTGTATTATTAACAACATATATTCAGACGAAGGCCTGTTGTTGGTACGTATAGGAAGTACTATATATAGTCATTTGCTTTATCAATATATATGATTTACTTTATCTAATTTTATATATATAAAAACCTACACATTTCGGTTTTTCTACATATCATATATTTATATACGTAAGTGTGGTAGAGGTATTTTGTAGTTATATAATATATTTTAAAGTGTTTTCGATATAATAACATTAATATGTAAAATTATGTGTTTTTATACAATGCGCAAGCACATCACATTCAATGATAACAGCACAAAATATTTGCAGGTTACCGATGGAAATTTCTTACAAATGCTGCAAGACAAACATTGTGTGGTAAATGTTTTTATAGACTATTTGAAGTAATCTATAAGTAGTGTTTCTTGTAGTTTAACGATTTTTTTGAGTTTCTAAATGTAAACTATTTTATATTTCCAAATTGATATTTTGTTTGTTCTTATAAACATATATATTTTTATCTAATCTCTGCAAACATATACAAAATTATTATATAAGATTTTGTAATCTGTTCTAGCCATCTTCTGTTATTGTCGCCGTGAAATACAAAGTTAATGACCGTCGTGCTTTACTAGTTAAAATAAAAAATAATATTTTTCTAAACCGTAAAATGCATTTATTTACAGAGATTTAATGTTAGACTTGTATACTCGTTTTATTTATTTAAAAAAAACAAATGCTACCACTTACTTGTATTTCTCACTAGTTTTGTGAATAGTGTTTAATAAGAAAAGTTTTCTTTTGTGACAACATATATTATTTATTACTCATATTTAAAATCGGTAATAAAGTTTACGGATTTTAATATAGTTAATATAATTCGCGCCAGGTGTCTACAAAAGAAAATTAGATCTTTATTAAAAGTAAATAGTTTATAACAGTTTATTTGATTAAAGTATTGGTGTAAAGTTAAGTATTCATTAAGCATCTTGCACAAAAAATAAATATTTATTAAGTACATAATAAAACATTACAACATATATACATAAGAGTATAGAAATAAGAGAAAACAGTTATATATTATTTAATGTTAAGTTTAACAAGATTAATATATATATATTGATTAAGATTATTACTAATATTTATAAAACAATAAAACTTACGGTACTTTTACTTGATTATGTTTTAACTGTAAAATACTTTTTGTTATATAATTTTTATTTTTAATAAACATACCATTTGCACGACATTTTTCTGGTTACTTTTTAGTGTTTCTTAAGGTTTTAACAATGTGCAATATTTTCTACCAAGTTTATATGTGAACATATTGTAATGTATACATTATATATTTATATGTACCATAATATAATCATTTTGTTTTGCTGTACTACAAATACTCTAAGAACAAATGTGTTCTCTCAAACAGAACTTTTTTGCTTGCTACCTTTATCGTCTCTTTTTTAAAATTACAAAGTTACACTAATGTTACTCTCATAATAATATTTGGTGTTATAATCATTCTGTATGAAAACTTCTCGAAATGTACAAATACTGTCATTTGTCGTCATTGTTATCTATTGTTTTACTTATTTAAACTTATAAATATTTTTCTAATACTACACAAGACTCTAAAACTTTACATTTATCTTTCTTAATTAGCCTATTGAAACGTCATGTAACATGCACCCTACTAGGCAAATTGTGAAAATACTGTACAAATATGACATCCTGAGTGACGACGATTTCTTGCGTTTCTTCATATCCAATCATATTTCTACATATTTTAAACATGACATAGCTGAAATTTTTTCTCAATCATTGGACAATTTTTTTGTGAAATTAATTTTGCAAATATACTGACAAGATGATTCGTCATATCGTTATTCTTTTGCCAAAATAGTATTTGGAAAGTAATTTTGCAAACAACTACAAATATTTCAGAAAAGATCAATGTTTTTACATTTATTTCCTAAAATATGTCTGTATAATTGCAAATTACAATTTTAGAGCAAGATTTTGTCTCATAATTTTGTAAATGGTTTCTTATCAGGGCAGTACACTAGATGCGCGCATACTCTCGCACTTTAAAATAATAGATATTTACTTTTAACTACAATACGTTAAGACTTTATCGACAGACGCGCTATCAGAATGATTGCGTCATTTTATCTTTGTATTATATCTAATATGCAATAAACATAGAGCGAGATGCAATAGCGCAGATATAGCGCTCTTCTTTACCGCAGCTAACTCTACAGATTTACATCGAAGTATCAATCAAAATCGAAAATGATAAAGAACTCTGATGAAAGATCTCTATATTCGTCTACTTGATTTGTTTTTGTGTATGTGGCAATCTTTACTGAGTTCAGCAAAAAACAAAATCGGTCTTTAAATAGGAAAAGTAAAGTGTGCAAAAAAGTGGAGATAGCGGTTTGTGTTACATTGGCGAAATCGATAACATCCCATGGCTATACAGTAAGATGGCTTTCTGATACGAGATATGCGCAAAACGAACAAGATTTTGTCCGTTTAACTTTCCATTTTTCATTGAACTTAGTGTAGTTGTCAGGCGTCTTTTTGCTTTGATTTATGTATATGTCACAGAAAAACCTGAGAGCAGCCAACCCATGAAACTTTTTTTCGATATACTCGCAATTATTGCTTTCAACATTACATTTCCATACAAATAGGTGTATGAAACACTTACGAAGCAACAATTACTTTCAATTGTAGACAGTACAAATGTAATCTTCTTTGCTGCTGAGTCTGTGCTGCAATTACTTTCAAATAATTTAAAAATTTATTATTAATTTATCTTATTCTTCTTTCATTATTAATTAAAAATTTATATTGAATAGTAAAAATTTACATTTCAAAAGTCATATTTTTCTCACTAACCATATTTCTATCAATGGAGATAACTTTTGTAGACCGTGAATTCAATGCAACGCAATTTACATATTGTAGCAAAATGGAGATAAATACTTAAGTAATCCGTTTATTTAATATGCGCGCTTATACAAGCCTCGTATATCGATATTATAGTATATCGATATAAAACGCGGCATTTCTGTGGAACAGAATATCCGCGAACTACAAAAGTTATCTCTATACAGTAGCGTAGTAAGAAAAGACAACGACCAGGGCGGATTTTTTCCTTTTTTTTATAAAGTTACTTTGCTAATAATTACTTAAAAAACTATCAAATACTTGTTTTAGTTTAGTAAGAATTACCTTTTTTAGTTTACATTTAATTTTTGATAATAAATTAATTTTTTCCACATATAAAAAAAGAAGCGATATGTCAATCATACACTATACTTTGGCTATATAATTTACACAGTTGTCTGTGTTAAAGACTGTAAAGTTACAAGTGTGTACGCTTCGTTTGTTTTTGCGCTACTCGATTATTTTAGAGAAAAAAAAAGCGCATTACGAATAAGCAAGAAAAGACAAAGCAGTCTTTTCATTTTACACCAAAATCTATAGGAAGTTTTGATACAAAAAAAAACGCCAAATTTTTTGAAGAGACATTTCGTGTTTCTATTACTCAAGTCGAAGAAATAAGAACAAATGAAATTTTCGTACATTATATTAAACAAAGCTCGAACTTCACCTTATAAAAACGCGTTTCTATATTGCTCCAGTCCGCCGACAGCGACCGGAGCGGATCGCTCCTTCCGCACTTCTTTTGATACGCTACTGCTTCTATACATGTATGTATCTACATGACATACNCTCTAAGTAAGATGTTTTTCACAATACAGATGTTTTCATCGTGATGTATATTTACTTCACGGAAACGACTGTCCTGTAGTTATCGAGTATCTCTCGAACAGGCAAGATCGCAGATATCCTTTGTTTTTAATCTTATATAGCAATGCTTTTGTGTTTCAAGAGATTTCTATTTTAATAAATTGGATTATTATCTTAAGCATGGTAAGTCAGTAAAAGATCGGTCGTATATTTGTTGAATATTTATATTTGTCTTTCAATGTAACCTATATCATTTATCATACGCTGACAAAATATAAAATCTGTTCTTTTCTCTTTATATTTGAAAAGTATATACGTACTCAATTTTATCACTTATTGTGGAAATCTATCTATTTGACAATACTCCGTACATTATTCATACAAACATATTACTACAATCTAAGAATATCTTTTTTACATTGACGTAAATTGCAATGTGTGACATACTATATTATTAAAACGCGTTAACAAAATGTAAACAGGTTTTTATAGTGTAATGCTTTGTTTGTTCAACTAATATTTTCTTCTAAACGTTCACCATTCTTCAGACTCTTCATTTTTTAATCGTCCTTCTATATGTCAAATTGATGAAAACAACACAATCATGAAAAATATTATGTACGTGTACGTGTATGCGTGTACGTAATAAATATAAAGACATAGCAGCATAGTGATAAACATGCTTATAACGGTCATATACATCTGTTATTGGCAAGAATATCAAATATATAAAACCCAAGAAGCCGCAGGACGAGGTTGACAGTTGAAATGAATCGTGTAAATTGTATTTTCTGTGGACGTTTCGATCTTTAATTGTAGATCATTTTCAGCACTGCATTGAGATACAATAATAATTAATCAGATTAAGAGAACAATAACGCAGTTACAAGAAATAATAAATTGAAAAGAAATAAGTGCGCACCTAAATTCAAATAAGTCACAACAATGAACCGTTGAAATTGAGTTGGCGAGAAAAACAAGTCAAAGTGACCGACAATCAACATACATGTAAACGTTCATGTTCGGAACTCTGTAATAATTAAACCAAGAAACGACACATAAACATTGTTTACATGTATGTTGATTGTCGGTCACTTTGACTTGTTTTTCTCCCCAACTCAATTTGGACAATTCATTGTTGTGACTTATTTGAATTTAGGTGCGTGCTTATTTCTTTTCAATTTATTATTTCTTGTAACTGCGTTATTGTTCTCTTATTCTGATTAATTATTATTGTATCTCAATGCAGTGCTGAAGATGATCTACAATTAAAGATCGAAACGTTCACAGAAAATACACTTTACACGATTCATTTCTTGGTTTTTATATATTTGATATTCTTGTTTTTATTTCTTCTAACCGGTTTTGTTAAAATTTATTGTTATTAACAATTGTATGTGAAAAACAATTTATGGCCGCGTTTAGTAAAACAATTACTGAATTGTCGATACTCTTGTCACTACTCAACGTGGAGTAACCGGTTCAAAAAGTAAGTGTCACTCATGTTTGATTGCTAGAAAGCAGCTTGTTTTACTGAACGCACCCATTTATTCTATACAATTTAAATTTGTTGTTGCAATTTTTTTTGCATATTTCTTGTTTAACAAACAATTTACTTTTCTAGGTCCACATTACGCAGATGCTTCCATTTTTTGGTACTTTGTGCCTACTATTTCTAACCGGAATTGCTTTTTCCACGGATGAGACTTTATCTGAAGAAGTGCAATGCATAAAACCGATATCCTATGAAATGACTCTTTTTCCACAAATACAAAATAACTCTCTCAACGTTGAATCTCGCGTCAAAATAAACGTCACATGTATTCAACGAAGAATAAAATTATATTTTGGACGTTATTGTAATCAACCGGAAATTTCTATCAGTAGTGATATACAAAATAGTTCTACTTCTTTGTTTTTAAAAATAAACTCGGTGT